TGTGGTCCTGGGAGTCAGAGGTTGCTGTTGGCCCCTGGGGTTGGGGCCAGATCCCTGGACTGCTGGCTGCATGGCTTATTGTGTCTTAGAGCTGGTGTTCACTTGGGGCTGGGCTGGGGCCCAGGGTGTCTAGAGACTGGTGCTGTCTCACTGGTGGGTAAGGTCGGCTCCTGGGGCTAGTGCCCAGTCCACTGGTGGGCAGGGCCAAGTATTGAGCCTCCTCAGGAGTGGGACCAGTTCCTGTGTCTGCAGGGGTTGTTCATGGGGGCCTATGGCTGCTGCCTGCCTTCTGGTGGGTGATGCTGTGTTCCCTGCTGGGCCTGGGGCAGTCCCAGGACTAGTGCCGACCAGCTGGCTGGAGGGTCTGGTCCTGGTGCTAATAAGGTAGAGGGAGGACTCCAAAATGGCACTTGCCAGCTCCAGTGTCCTTGTGGTAGAGTAAGTTCTCCAAAATAGCTGCCGCTGGTGTCTATTTCCCCAGGATGAGTCCTACTTTCCTCCTGCCTCTCTGGGAGGCTCTCTAAGATCAGCAAGTGGGTCTGACCCAGGCTACTTTCAAATTACTGCTTCTGCTCTGAGTCTCAGAACATGTGAGATTTTGTGTGTGACCTTTAAGAGTGGGGTCTGTATTTCCCACAGCCCTTTGGCTCTCCTGAAAACAAGCCCCATTGGCCTTCAAAGATGAATTCTGGGAGCTCATCTTCCTGGTGCAGGACCCCTGGCCAGGGAGCCTGATATGGGGCTTGGACCCCTAGCTTCTTGAGGAGAACCTGTGCAATTTTAAGTATCCTCTCATTTGAGGTTCTCTTCCTTGGGAGTTTTGGTAGCTTACCTGAGAGTATGGGTCTTGACTATACTACACCTCCGCCTCTCCTACCATTCTCATTGTGATTCCTTCTTTATATCGATAGCTGTGGAAGATCTTTTCTGCTAGTCTTCAGGTTGTTCTCATCAATAGCTGCTCTGTAAATAGTTGTAATTTTGGTGTGCCCATTGGAGGAGGTGGGCTCAGCGTCTTCCTACTCCTCCATCTTGGGCACACTTTTTAGGCAGTCAGTACTGACTTTTGATTGAGTAACTAGTTCTCCTACATATTGCCTGCCATCCTATAGTATTCATGGCTGGCTTGTGAAATGGTGATTTGTAGAGCTCCAAACTAAAATCTCTAAAAATAATAAATGGATGTTTGAGCATTAGCAAGCCTCCATGGTGTCTCATGGCAGCATTATGATAAACATTTAAGTAGTATTGTTTCATTAATCTTCACCCCTGATAATATGTATACTACTATCTTTTTTTCCATTAAAAAATGAGAAAGCTAAGTCTTAGAGTAACAAAGTAACTTACCTGTTCATACAGCTTGCAGGTAGTGCAGCCAGGACCAAACTTAGATCTGACAGTCCTAAGTGCATGTTCATAATCACTCTGCTGTTTGGATTGAAACTGAAATGTGTTGACAGCTGGAAGCAAATGCATTTGTAAAAGGTCTGGTCAATTTAATCAGCTCGTCGGTTTTTGACTGAGATTTGACTCTTTGACTTAAGTAAGAAAACTTACCCAGTTCCTAACACTGATGATTATTTCCAGATTAAGTAATTTTGTAGCTAGAAGAAATCTTACAAATCACCTGCTTCTAACTTTTTATTTTAAGGGTTAATTAAATAAGACTGAGAGAGAGCCTCCGTGACCAAAGGCATGCCCCGTTTTACTGCCCATAGTCTACTGTTATGTCATCCCATGCTCAAAATCTCCTCACCTTCAGAAACAGGCTCATCAGTGTGAAAACACATTCTGACCCTGTATAACTCAATATCATCCTTATGAAGATAGATAGATAGATAGATAGATAGATAGATAGATAGATAGATAGATAGTTAGAGATAGATGTGTAGATAGATAGGTAGGTAGATAGATAATCTTCTTTTGGGATGCTCGTGATATCTGAGTCTTTTGGCCTTAAATTAAATCGCCCTAAAGAGTTTTAATATTTATTAGAGTTAATTTTTTAGTATCTTGCTGTGTAGCTTGCTTTTTTGTTTGTCTGCTTTTAGCATTCTCCTCATCCATTTTCCATTGCTTATAGTCGGAAAGCAGATGATAAAGCATGTTAAAACCTGCTTATTATAAAAATAGTCTCTGAGTGAATGCTTAAATGAGTTTAGAATGATGTGTTTTTTATATGTGGCCTTTGTGACTGATTTTAGCTTTTAAAAACTAGATTATATTGGGTCTTTGTTTTTGTTTTGTTTTGTTTGTTTGCTTATTCTATGTCATGATAAGGTTCATGTGTAAATCATATCTGAATTAAGATAAAAACAGCTGAATACATTTTGATGATCACATTTTCAATCTAGAACACAAATCCTATTTTTACATGGAGTTTAAAATTTTTTTCTGCTGTGGAACTTATGGCTCAGGAACATTGAAGATTTTAAAATACAACCACAGAGGTCACTTTTAATTCCCAGATTCCTAACCTTGCTACTTTGGGATCCAGCGAACTGAGAGATGGACCTTAATTCAGCACCCAGCCAGAGGTGATGATTGTCACATCCAGGGATCTTAGGTGATTAAAGTGGGAGTCAGAGAGGTTTCCATGTCCATCTAAGCTGGCCTAGTTTAAACCATTAAGCTGATGATAAAAGGGTTTACAGGCTGATACTAGGCAAGGCAAAGCAGCTTATTCCTCATTTCTCAGCATTGTGTCAAGTAAATGAAGGACAAACAACAACAAAATAAAGCCATAAAAGTGTATATTTTTTCATGTTTCTATAATTGGATGAAATATTTTATTACATGTGAAGAACTGAATATTGTTGCGGTCTTTGGGGGGTCTGATTAAAAAAAAAAAAACAGACTTCCTTTCCTAGGTGAATTCTGAACCCACTGAATATCACAACCAAAGAGTAAAGCAGTTAGAGGTCAGGGTATCACCTTGATCGCTGACAAAGCTATTATATTGAAGAGTGTTTGTGAACACAGGAGACTTAATCCTAAAACCCAGTCCTTAACAGACTACTCACCCACTGGGGTAGGCCTCTCCACATCAGCAGATTTGGATATGGGCTTCCCTACAGGAAAGGGATGGGCTCTGTAGGCCAATTTCTCATTCCCAACTCTTTTACCTGATAAGTCAGCGCAGCTCCCCAGAGTGGAGTGAGTTAGGGAACAGAGAGAGGCAGGAGAATTAGGCTAATGGTGCTCCCTCCACATGGAAAAGGAACATAAGGAGTGGAGAATATGCAGCTCAAAGTATCAGGGGTGTGGTGTGTGTAGACATCTGAAGTCCAATATTTATTGTCTGTGTGTGGTGTTTTATACATGCTGTATCATTTAATAAAATACTGTACTCCTCCCACCCCAACCCAACCCTACAAAGGTTGTGGAATAGTTGTTATAAATATTATTATATACATTTTACACATGAGGAAACGAAAGCTTAGAGAAGTTGCTTAGCTTGCTCAAAGTGTCATGAATGATAATGAGAAGATCTGAAACCCATTTTCCCACATCTTAGTTTCTCATGTTAATAAATCTGAAAATACTTATCCAGGCAACTAAGATCTCTTCATTGAAAACTGTTCTGAAGCCGTGTTGATTGATGATTACTTGATACAACATTTAGACTGTGATTTTTTAAAACTTTTTATTTTGAAATAATTTCAGATTTACAGAAAAGATGCAACAATCTTACAGAGAAGTCCCTGTATGCCCTTTATTCAGCTTCCTCTAATTTCATCATCTTATATAATGATAACATAATTTTCAAAAATGGGAAATTGATATTGGTACTACACTATTAACTAAACGACAAACCTTACTCAAATTTCACTACTCACCCATTGTTTTCAATATTGACTGAATTTTTTGAAGGCAGCAAGTGTATTATATTCATATTCACATCCGTAGTGCCCTCTGTAAGTCTGGTCTAGAATCAGTCATAAGTAACTGCTTGTGAGATGAGTAAATAATAGATTTTGAGTTTCATACTGTCAATACAACTTGTGTATATTTGTGTGTATATGTGTGCCACAGGCTTAGAAGCACATACAAAAGTCTGAAGCTGTGATTTGAATGAATGTTATTCAGAACTAAGTTCCACATTAGACTTGGTAAAGCAAAGCCATTTAAAACTGAAAAATTTTCAAAAACAAAAGAGAATGTACTAATCAGATTGAAAGAAAGATACATACATTGGAAGGTACTAAATTAGCAAAAGGCTATGGTGTGACATTCATTTTATTACTTTTGTACATGTGTGTGCATGCATGTAGATTTCATATGTCAGTTTAGTAAATGCCTGGGCAAGAGAAGAAGCAGTTGCTGACAGTCAGTCCTGTATTTCTAGTCAGGTTGTGGATTTATGTTAAACCAAATCATATAAACTCTCTTGTTTGAAGAGAAAATCCAAATTGATGCTTTTTTTTTTTTCTTTGTGGTACGCGGGCCTCTCACTGTTGTGGCCTCTCCCGTTGCGGAGCACAGGCTCCGGACGTGCAGGCTCAGCAGCCATGGCTCATGGGCCCAGCCGCTCCGCGGCATGTGGGATCCTCCTGGACTGGGGCACGAACCCGTGTCCCCTGCATCGGCAGGCGGACTCGCAACCACTGCACCACCAGGGAAGCCCCAAATTGATGCTTTTAAGTCTTCTATTTTCTTTTGCACTGACTTCAGTAGAGATAACATTAATGAAATGTGGATCTTGTTATCACAATGTTTTCTGATCATTTATAACCAAAGAATGTGAAACCAGGAGAGAGGCAATATTCCAAGCACAAAATTCTTCTTAAGCTTAATGAACTCTGAAATAGCCACCTTTCTTTCTGTTTTCGCAATCATCTTTTAACCAAACTGAAAATATTAATGTGACAAAGTATAGAAAGACAAGAATATGGCATTATTCTTAGGGAAAACAGGTATACAAAATTCTTATGAGGACTGATTTTTCTCAAAAAGTTCAACTTTTAAAACGTTTTAATTATTTTATTATTGTTATTTAGATGGAAGACGTCATAGCACGCATGCAAGATGAAAAAAATGGAATTCCTATTCGTACCGTCAAAAGCTTTCTTTCCAAGATACCTAGTGTCTTCTCTGGTAAGTTTGCATTCAATGTAACACTATTTTCTCCAGCACTTTTCATATAACTATGTAAAATCTATTCTAGTCATTTACTATTGACGCTCTCTCTAACTCATTATTCAATAATTACTTATAAAAATTTATGTCATGTTCAACATCATGTTGGATACTTGACTTGATAGTAAAACAAATCAAAACAGCAAAAAAAGAAAAATTCATGACCTTACCCAAAAGTAGTTGCAAAGACATAATGAACAAATGTGAAATAACAGAAAAAATATATATATATATTAAAATATAGATGTATGAAACAGTGTGCTGTAGATTATATACAAAAGTTAGGAAGGTGACAAAAATCAGTGAAGAGGCAAGAAAGGGTTCCTGAAGAGCAGTGATAAGCTGAGTTTGAAAAATGAGGAATTATATCAGCCTCAAGACTACTACCTCAACCAATTCTGCATGCAAAACTGGGAGTGACCAAACTGCTAAGAACAGGGTGGATAGATGGGAACAGGTAGAGTTGGGTCAAATAAGGAGGGTCTAGGGTCTTTGAAAGCCAACCAAAGAATCTAATTCTGATATAACAGAAAATATGGAGATACCTACAATTTTTGCAGAGAATGTTATGATGAAAGTGCTTGGGGTGAATTGATATTCAGTAAGGGTCCTTGTCACTGTGATAGGTATAAGGCTCTTGTAGGAATAGTTTGAATGCTAAGGATCTGATAGCCAGGGAGTGGAGGAATAGAGAGGAAAAAGCATGAGGATTTGGTGAATAACTAAGTATATAGGATATAAGATGACATGAACCAATGGTTTTTGTTTTTTAATTGGGTGATTGTGAGATATAGGAATTATTATTAGAAATAGGGAAACGCCACAGATTTGGTTGAAAGTGACTAGAGAAGCCCTAGAGAAAATGGATAATAATAAGTTAGAAATAGGTGCTCTGGCTCCAGGAGACAGTGAATGGCCAAGCTCTGGGGACTCGGGTGTGCTTTGTCCTTGGATGGCATGACTTAGAGAAGAGACAGAATCAGAAAGACCCAAACCTTCGCAGCCAGTAAGAAGAGTAAGGAGGCTGGTGCTGAGCATGTGGAGGGGAGGGTGCTTGATGGAATTCATGAACAAGAGTTGTGTGATGCTTTCTTGTGAACAAGGATCAAAAGAAGACCAATGACCAGGAATCCTTCAGCCTTGGTACAATGGTAATAATTAGGTCCAGAACATAAATAAGTAGGCCCAGATGTTGATGTTTAATAGCTGCATTGCTCTCAGATGAAAGAGAGAAAGCAATGGAGCAGATAAGAGCTGCAGTAGCATGACATTTTGCTCTAATAAAACATATTCTCTTTTTCCTGTTACTGCCTTTCAGTCCCACTTTGTTCCAGTTTCTTGTTCTTCCTTGATGATGCCCTATATTTTCCCATATCTGGGACTTTATCTCTTCCTTCCTCAGTATTCTACTTCCAGACTTCGAGGTCATTCTGACCATTAAATTCTGTCCATTCTTCAGCAGCTATCTCAGAGAGCTCTTTGGAGAAAACTATCCTGAGTTTTGTTCTCTGTTCTCTCAAAAGACTTGTTGTTATTGTTGTTTTGCCTCCCTGTTAGTAGTTATTATGCCCCACCTTGCCTTATAGTTATTTTTTTATATGTCCTGTATCGTCGAGTAAGTATTAAGCTCCTTGCCATCAATAACTCAGAGAGTTAACTTTACCTCTAAACACAAGTATGAAAACTACTTGTATTTTGTCAACCAATGAAAAAGAGAACTTATCTCTTTAAAATACTTCAATACTGGGGTTGTAAACTGAAATGCATTCACAATCCAGGCAAATAAATTCACTAAGTTGCCCTTCTGAACTGGGAGCTGTGGTCAATTAAATAGTGCATAGCCCATCCAGAGGCGTTTTAATTCAGGAATTTAATGGCTGAACGCAAAAGGATTGCCCATCAGTTTAAGCTGAGCTTCAAGTTAGAGTTACCTGCTCTAATGGTAAATCTAAAATTTTGGTTGAGTTCTTCAAGTAATAATACCTCCAATACAATTCCAATATAGCATTGTATTGGAAGAACTCTTGATTGACAATATTAAGGTCTTAATTAAAAAGTAAGAATGAGATTGAACCATGAAGTGCCTGTTATTATTTTAATGTTCATTAACATAAACCAACAATGTTAGCTGTGAAATAAAGAGAATATCAATGACAATTTTCATATTACTGTAATTAGTTTCTAATTATCATTCAGTGTTTCCTAGAAACTTTTAGGAGCTCTCTGCCTCACAGGTTCAATTAGATGCTTTGCTGTAGATTTAATTTGTATGTCTAGTATTATGTCTAGTATTTTACCAACCTCTTTGTATTAATATTCCCAAATTATAATGGTCTGAATCTCCATCTACTTTACTAGCAGTTTTTGGTCTTTTTTAGTAATTTTCTTCTCCTGCTATTTCTTATGGTGATTTGGGATTAATCCCTGTATTCTTTTGGCCTGACTTGCTACCCACTGCTTACTTTCCTGCCTCTTTCTGCTTCTTCTTTCTCTTTTTCATGTTCTACTTCAGAGCCGCTAATGAAACAAGGGATCTACTAACTTTAGGCCCTTACTTCAATCAGAAACCAACTGTGATGAGTGATGTAATGTGTGAGAGGAAGGTAGTGTGATTGTTGGGGAAAGGAGTCTATTTTGTTATGGACCATTTCACAAGGGAAAAACTGTCTCAAATACTGTTGATCTAGCTCTTTCAGGTTACCCATTTATGCTCCCTAAAGGCTTGATGAACAAAGCATGGTCCATGAACCAAGAATATCAACATCACCTGGGAATTTATTAGAAATACAGTATCTGGGCCCACTCCAGACCTACTGAATCTGAATCACAATTTTAACTCTAAAGTTTAAGAGGTACTGCCTTAAGTAGGGCAGCAGGGCCAGACTGGGTTCCAGGCCAGCACTCAGTTTTTACTGGGTGCAGTGGCCAACGTGTTTGTGCAGAGCTTTCTGTTTCCCTTCAAGGGCCCTGATTATTTCTTCTGCAGTCTGGCCTCAATCAAGCCCACCCCAGTTTGTCTAATGGTTTTTTCTTGTTTTGGTTTTGTTTTGATTTGTTTATTTCTCTTGTGGGAGGGAGAAGGGATTATAAAGAAGAATCTAGTTCCTTCTAGCTCCTTTACTCCAAGCCAAGAGCCTCTTCAACCTCTAAGATTGAGGGATATTAACAGTTATGTGGAGGGATGGAAACTATCCAGCTCTACCGGGCAGCACCCATATATAATACACATGTCATGGTGGCCAAGTAATGTTCATATCTACCTCAGGGGAAAACAGCTGTATTAAGAACATGATGATGCAATTCCATCCTCTCACAACATCTGAGATCCAAACCCAGTATCATGGCTATTACATAGATAATATAACAGTGGTTTGGGCTTTGGAAATTTTTTGTTTGTTTATTTTTCCCCACCTCCTGATAAATGCTTTCTTCCAGCTAAACATCCAAGACTTCTCTAATTATTTTGGTTTTGGAGTTGTTAATTTCACCCTCCTGGTTTCCATGGTCCCAACATCAGATGAAAACTCTTTGGATGAACACTCCATGTTGATCTCTTGAACTATGGGATAGGAGATGTCCTTGGGTAGGACAATGTCCAATCACAACCTTGTTTTCCCCCAGAATTGCCTTCTCAACTTGTGAGATAGCTTAGACAGTTCCATTGGTGTTTTATGACTGGACCCCCTCAAGTTCAAGAAATGAAATCAGTGGTGGGCATTTGAATGTTTTCATATTCTGGACATTCAGTATTTCACTTATTCTAGATCATGGTGAAATAAGCCTTTACCCATTGTATGAGTTTAATTTTCTTCAATGGATTGACTGGGAAGTTACTGTGTTTCCAGATAAGCCACCACAGGAAATAAATCTGACCGCTCTTCTCAGTTCTTTATAAATGGTGTAGGTTTTCATTAAAATGGTCAGAAATAAATTGGGGGTTGTAAGTCAGCCATTCCTGCATTTCATATATTTCTGTCTTTTGTCTTAATAGCTTGAGGATATTCTCCATCACAAGCACATCGATACTTAAGGAGTTGCATCTTTTTGTTACTGTTCTTTTGCAACTTATTTCCATTCTTCATCTGAATGGATCACTTTTTACATGCTCTCATAAAATGGCTTGCCACCAATTGGCAAGAGCAAAATTTATAGTCAGAAGAGTTACTTAATAGTCCTTATGATGTGTGGGTTTGGCTAGCCTTAAGTCTTTTTTTCTAAAACTACTTTATTGAAGTATGATTAAAATAAAAACCTCTATACATTTAATGTATTCAACTCGACGAGTTTGAAGATAAGTATAAACAGGTGAAATCATCACCACTATCCATGCCATAAGCATATCCATCATCCCATAAAATTTGCTTCTGCCTTAATTAATTAATTCTGGGTAAGAACATTTAACATAAGAGCTACCATTTTAGCAGATTTTAAAGTATGCAATACACTTTGTTAACTATAGGCACTATGCTGTACAGGAGATCTCTATAACTTTTACATCTTGTGTAACTGAAAGTTGTACCCTTTGACTAATATGTCCCCACTTCCCCATCTCCCAGCACTTGGCAACCACTATTCTACTCTCTGCTTTTATGAGTTTGACTGTTTTATATTCCTCATATATATGGTGTCATGCAGTATTTGTCCTCTGTGTCTGGCTTATTTTAGTTGGCATAATGTCCTCCAGATTCACCCATGTTGTCACAAAAGGCAGGATTTCCTTCTTTTTTAAGGCTAGATAGTACTCTATTGAGACTTTAGCCTCAAGTCTTAGGCTCAAGAAAGCATCTTTAATTCTCTAGAATCCACTCAGGCCATTTTTTCCCTCTGTGTTCTATTCTTACTCTCAGCAAGTTTGATAACAAAGGAAGCCCTAACCAGTAACATGCTGAGCTACTCCAATTACATGGAAATAGGAATTATTATGTTTCATATTACTGGATAATGAATCATTATTCATA